ATTAGATAAAGTTGGCAGAAAAGAACAAGCAAGAAAGTGCCATGTCTGGCACAGCTCTTGAAACTCCAGAAGCAAGGAGGTGGACAGTGGAAGATGAAGAAAATCAAAAGTCAAGATGCAGAAAGCTAGGACAGGGGAGATGGCTCAGTAGAATAAGCGCTTGCCTGGCAAGTGCAAGGGCCTGAGTTCAATCTCTGGTTCCACCAAAAAATAAGACGCAGAAAGCTAAAGTCACGTGGAGCCTCCTCTCCTCATGGGAGAGGAATAATTGTCCAACAATTGTAGTGCATTTATTTATATACTTGGGAGGTTGATGTTAATTGAAACCCTTCTGCCAAACAACTTTGCCTGGCTAGTCTTGGGTATCTCACTTTCTCAGACCTGGAAAAGCTCGTTCACATGGCTTGCTTCAGGTGCTCCATGTTTGCAGGGCTGGTCTTACTTTAGCCTTGCACATGTTATCAATCTCTAGGCTCAGCTCTTCCCCATAAGGAAAGAGAGAAAAAGACAAGAAAAAAAATTTAAAAGGCAAAAATTGGGGCCAGGGAGATAGCTCAATGGTTTAAGTGCCCACCTTGCAAATACAAAGGAGTTTGACCCCTTATACTGCATGTCTTCTTGGCCCCAGAACCCCAGGTGAACCATGCAGCCCCGAGTCTTAACTGCTTAGTGAGATCCTATATCAAATAAATAAATTTTAAAAAAGAAAAAGGCAAATTTCCCAAACTCCCAGTCAGTGGAGAGGTTGGAGGGGGACAAATTTGAGTTAAAAAAAAAAATTCTTTTTCTTTATATTTTTCATTGAATGGTTCTTTTCAGGGCCCAGTTTCAGAATCCAGCATTTCTGTTTTTTTCACCTAGCTTTATGCCTTGTGGGTTTACAAGGTGCCTCTCCCATTCAAGAAATCAGTCAGTCCATCCTCAGTCCACACCCCAGGCTGTGGCAACTGAGGCATGCACTTGTTCATGTTGATAGACAGGGAAAACAATTAGACTTCTGATCTTTGTTCATGTTGATAGACAGGGAAAACAATTAGACTTCTGATCTTCTTGATATAGGATATAGGCAGCCGGACAAGGGTCCAAGCAGTATACTGTACTTCTTGCCAGCACTTTCACATCCACACAAACCAGTACACACTTGTAATTCTAGCACTTGGGAGGCTGAGGCAGGAGGTTCACCTTTGAGGCCAGCCAGAAACACAAAGTGAGATTATCTCAAAAAAAAAAAAAAAACAAAAAAACTGCTTTAGGGTTGTGGATATGCCTCAATGAAAGAGGTTTAAGTATGATTTTCTTCAGTCCTACATAAGAACCCCAGAGTTTTTTGCACATTAGGAAAGTTGTTCTACTACTGAGCTATATCCCTAACCCTTCACATTATCTCCTTTTGATAGGGTTTCCCTAAACTACCTAGGCTGGCCTTGAACTTGCAATACTTTTGCCTCTACCTGCTGGGTAGCTGGAATTACAGCTGTGTGCTATTATGCTTGGCAGCTACATTTATTTTAGCAACTAAGAAGAACACTAAGATAAATACTCTAAAAATGACTGCTTTCCCCCATAAGCTTCAGAATGATTATATTCCTACCAGTCATGTGGTTGCTGTACTACTGCTGGGATAGTAACAAAGAAACAAAACCCCCACCCTTATAGATCTTCCATTCTGTGGTGACAATATCTGTTATGCATTTAGGATTTAAACTCTCTCAAAGCAGGCTTATTCACCTCTTTATTCCTTGACTTAGTACAGTATCTGAGGCTTATCAATGGCTAAAAAATTTCTACCAGAGTATGTTATCATATACAGTAACCTGGGTGTGGTGTTCAGTAAAATGCTTAAAGATACATACGATGATTGACTGGAATGATGAGCTAGTCTGTTGCTTGTCCACAGGTTTCTCTACAGAGAAACCTCTGTAAAGAAATTTAGCTGTAAACCTCTCCTCCCTTCCCTTTGGTCAGGATGCAGTCAAATAGGATCTTTTACCAATTAGGATATTTCTCATATGCATGAGGATGTAGAGTGGCAGGTTGCAGGGAAGCAGCAACTATGATTTGAGTGGACCAAAGAAAGCTTATAGGCAAATTTTATGCAATTAAATTGGTACAAATCTGCTTAGCCTCTCTGCATATCAAACTCTGTCACAGAAATGTTTCCTTACTAATTCTCACAATAATCCCACATAGATTTTATAATCTTGCTTTCACTGATGAGGAAATGGAGGGTCTGAGAAGTAAACTGCCCTTTATTACGAACCAAACCATGCACACAGAACTGTCTAGCTCTGAGCCATTTCTTCAGTTAGTCTGTCTCTCCAATGTGGAGGAGGCTGAAGCAGGATTGCCATGAATTTGAGGCCAGCCCGTACCACATAATGAATCCCTGTCTCAAAAAACCCAACCAAACCAATACAATTAACTCTCATGGATGCATGGGTCCTTATTTGATCTACTTATTTCAGAATTTTTAATCTCCACTAAAAACGTAAATTCTTAGCATCTCAGAGAGCAACTGACCCTATGTGACTCAAGACTTCACAGCATTAGAATTCTCCCAGATCTCGTGCAATCATACTTAGCCCAAGAAACTGATGGCAGGAAAGGAAGGATACATTTTAATTAGAACTACTTAGAATTTAGGCTAGCCTGACTATACATTTAGGAGCAATTCCTGTATAGGTTTTTTTGTTTTGTTTTGGTGAGCCAGGGTTTAATTACAACCCTGGCTTTGAACTGGTGATCTTGCTGCCTCAGTCTCTCATGCTGGGATTATAGGCATGTGGCACACCATTTTTTTTCTTGAAATTGAGATTTTTAAGAAAAGTCTCACCAGAATCTTGGTAACTGATTTTAAAACAGGTATATAGCTAATGAATTAGAATTTTTTCAAAAGACAAAGTACACCTAGAGAACATAAAAATTCTTTATTCAGCCTAATAATCCAGCCAGTATTGAGATAGTCTGCTATATTAAAAACAAAACGTTTAAAAAATTACAGCAGAATTAGGAAGGCAGTGACTAAGTCACTAATTGTATGGTCTTCACAGTCATTTGATAATCATGTAATGATGGACATTATTTTTAGCCACTTAAGTGGAGATAAAATCTGCAAAGAACAGAATTCTACTAGTCACTGGATTTTATAAAAGAGGTTTAGAACATTAAAATTTCTACAAATGACACAGAAAAACAATATGAAAATAAACTAGAAAACACAAAATATACCCATCCATTCTAAAAGTCTATAGCATCTATTTTTTGTTTGCTTTTTGAAACAGGGTCTCATTATGTAGCTCAGGCTGGCCTTGAACTCATGCGATCCTCCTGTCTTAGCCTTTCATGTACTATTATGCCTGGTATCATCTCTTTAATTTGTCCTCTACTGCTTTCTTTTACCTGTTTAATCCCTTTCCCTAGATACAAACAGACTATTTAGCAATTATGAAACTATTACTTTTTAGAGCTTAAAATGACTCCATTCCTTTTCCAGTTAATCCTAGAAATAGTCTAATTACTACTTTGTATTTCAATGATAAAAGAGAATTATGGCTGAGAAATCAGTTAAGTCATTTGGCCATGGTCCTAGTTATTAAAAGCTGAATAAGGATTTGAATGCAGGTCTGTCTGGAAAGCCTGCCTCTGATCTTTTGTTGTTTTGTATGTGGCAGGCCATCTTCTAGAAAGCTGGCACATGGTATTTCTTGAGCTAAGGCTCTTAAAAACTCTGGGCCCCAGGCACTTATAGTTCCCTCCTTGTAGCCCTAGAAACCACTTCCTCTCTGCCCCCAAAGGATTAGAGTTGTTTCTTCCTTCGTGTTCATGGGCCTTAATGCCAGTAAACCCCAGTTTATTCCCTATCTTTATATAGGGGATAACAGACAACTTTAGAAAAGACTGCCTAAGCATTATTCTATTTATATCAAAACTATGCAGGAAATGTCGGCTTAATGCATGTTTTCATATTGAAAAATTCAAAGCCCATATACTCTATAATTACAGCTACAGAATTTAAGTTACCTTTATATATAATCATAAAGTCCCCCTTCAAAATAGTAGCAGTGTTTTCAATAAGGCTCACTCAGTCAAACCCCACTCACCAGAAATTTCAATTCTGAATGTTTAAGTCATTCACATTATCATCGTGTAACTAAAAAATTAAAATATTCTTACTATGGAAAGATATCAATCATTAATTACTAAAATTAATATACATTATTGCAGTCTACCATAACCCAGTCTACATTTGTTAAACTCAAAAAGAGAAGTGGCCACTTACCAGTTAGGGGAAACATTTACTATTATTATGCATTAGGTACTGTGAATAAAAAAATAACAGTTTTTGGAACTATCTTTAAAATTTTTAAATTTTAATGAATGAAAATATCCAAAACACCACTTAAATTGCTTAACATTAAGATGGCCACTCTATTGAAAATGGCTTCAAATAACTACTTGCTTTTGAAAAATGCAAAACTAAACAATAAACCTTTTAATGTGACAGACAAGCACTAAAATCATTAGTACTAGCTTTGTATAATATATTGACTTAGCCAAGAACAATAACTTCAAAATTTACTCAACGCGTCCTTGTTTTCATAATTAGCTCCTCACTGCCTGACATAAAAACAAAGAGCTTCAGCTCTTGCCTTGGTTTACTCACCACTGGTTTCCTATCTGAGGAAATCACATTAAATTCTGCGAGAGTTGGGGCCACATTTGTCTGTTCACCACGGTATCCACAGCACTCAGCAGAATGCCAGGGTGAATAGGAAGGAGGTGATCAACAAATATCTCAATAATTGAAAGGGCAAATTAAAATAATTTTGTTTTTGTTTTCTTGCAAATCATTCTCTGCTCAAGCTACTATAAACTCTAATTTCTAGAAATGCGGATTTAAAAATTTCATTCCAGAGATCGACGTACCTGATGAGACAGTCAGTCACACACACAGTAATCAAGACTACATGAGTCAAAATTACTTTATAAAGTACGATATGTCAACATTGTATAAATAAAATTTAATAGTGAAAATTTAATCTGGAAGCCCTGTGAACCCTATACACTTTAGAGAACACTTTAGAGAACATCACATGGGTTAAAGAAACGAACAAAATTTCATTTTGTAGATAACCAGTTGAATGTTTACATACATTTTTGGCTTGTTATTTATTTATAACTAATTTAATTTACATTTCCTCATATTAACAGGTTTCTGTTTAGTATGTAATCAAATTATGCCAATGAAAAAAATCCCCATAGTACCTTCATTGAATTACTGATTCTAAGAAAACACCCAACATGAACATGTACAAAAGAGACATCAGAGTAAAATAGCATGTGCATTTTTATATTTGTATAGATTGATCTTTACATGTCTGTCTGGAGAAAATATGAACTCAGTTTACCATGCTAACAGTTTAGATGACTGCCTTAAAGGAAATACATACAAAACAATGACAATAAATCACATCCTTAGGTTCCATGATTACTGAGAGGATTTCTCCTGCCTTAAGTGCTTTATTATACTTGTTAAAAATATAAGAGCAGCAGCTTATCACAAGTCTCCACTAGTGCACTAAAGATGGAATCAAAACCAGACAACAGACTCGTATGGATGAGAGGACTGCAGAAGAACCAGAAATCACAGTTTTATGCTTCTTCTTGCTCAGGATAATTTAGAATCTTGCGGTGTGCCTGGCGTAAATATTGCTGCTGTTTGAAGTAAACCTTAAATGCTCCTTTTATGGCAACAAAAGCAATTCCTCCCTAAAATAAAAAAGAAAGTTACGTTCTTATAACACAATTTAGAGAAACATAATACAAAGAATTTCACTTAGATCACAAAAGACATAAATTTTGATGCTAAATTAATTCAGATGACTGCAAGTAAAACACTCTTTTCTACTATGGCGTGTGGTAGGCAAAGATGTAGACTCTACAGGTAACAGATGCCCTCCCCATTATCCTATCTGAGTAATTTTCTTTCCATTTTGCTCTGTATCCATTCTGCTATAGAAAGGAGAATGTCACACACTAACTGTGCACAGCACAAACTGCTGCCAGAGGGAAGAAATCATAATACTAAAAGTGACATTAAACTGGCATCCTTACTTTGTGCCAGTACATATCTCATTTAACCCTCACCGAGGTAACTACTATTCCCATTTCCATTCTATAGGCACAAAGAAGTCAATAAATTTGATTTACATTTCACTGTGAGGTTGCCTGTATTAGGATCTGAACCAGGCAGTTTGACCCCACAACAGAAAGTCTTTACTATAATTCAATTGGCAGGAAGGATGGGTGTGATGATTCATGCATATTCCAGAAGAGAAAGTACCCACAGGAAAGTACCGACAGAATAGTTCTAGAAAGCCAGAACTGCTGTAGTGGCTCCTTCCCCTTATATTTCCACTCAAGTTAGTGGCTGACCATGACATCAAATAGAGGTTTAAGGCACAGGAGCCACAAACTGAGTATTTACATAGTGTGTCCCTCCTTTTTTCCCAGTATGGGGGATTGAACTTTTATTCTACTGAGCTAACTTCCCAGCCCTCCCTCCCTTTTAAAACAAATACAGTTCATTTGCTTTTGTATGCCACTTGAAAAAAGTGTTACTGAAGCCATCTTACCAAGATTGTCCTTTGTAAATTAGAGTTAACACTACTGAACATCAGTTTACCAACTATTGTTGCAATAGTAGGAAAGACAAGGGCTCCACACAAAATTCGGGTAGCAGAAACATGATCTGCTAAAGGATTAGCTTCAGCAGGAATTCGAGGAACAGGACAACCAATGCCTAGATAAAAAACAAAACAAAACACAGAAATACTTCAAACCATAGTGCATTAATACTAATATATCAGAATAGTTTTAACAAAACCTCTTCAAAAATTTCTAAAAAAATGTGTGGTTCTTCTACAAAGTTAATTTGGTATTCACTTTATAATTATAGTTAGGTTCTTACCTGGAAATATACTGTTTAAAATTTGTAGTTTATTTGAATATTTGCGCCATAGTCTAAGCACATAGTCCTCCCAGCGAATCATCTTGCCTAGTATCAGCATGACAGGAATAGTAGGAAGTCCAATTAAAAGGAATAAAGGATCAGCTCTTTCCATCACATCCAGCCCTTCTTTATGGCCTACAACCTGTGAGACAAATAGCATTTGCTAGATTTAATTCCTTATCTAATGAAGTGCTACATATTTGAGTTCAGCTCACTTTGCAGGAAATGTTTAATTTCAAATAGTACAGAATACAGTTTTAAAAATAAGCTCAGCCAGAAATGGTGGTGCACACCTGTAATCCCAGTACTCAGGAGGCTGAGGCAGCAGGATTACTGTGAGGTCAAGGCCAGCCTGGGCTACAAAGTGAATTCAAGGCCAGCTTGAACTATATAGTAAGATCCTGTCTCAAAGAAAAAAAGGCTGAAATCCTATCGTGCCGATTTATAAGAAATACCTTTATTCAAGGAAAAAAACAAAGTTTCCAAGCTATTTTACATTATACCAGAATAAAAAGCTTTCACAATGGTTGATCATATACATTATATTTCAGTGGAGGCGAGTGGACATCCAGTTTTTACTTCCATTCTTCTTATTTCATTTGTATTGTTGTAGGACTGGAATATAATTCTAGGTGTAAGATTCACTACTGTTGGGTTAAGCCAATTCCTAGAATAAGTATCAGTCATTCTGTCTCCCTCTGTCTCAGAATCAGAGATAGGATCTCCCTATGTAGTTCAGGCTGGCCTTGAACTCCCTATGTGTACCTGGTCTCACATGAGCTACAATCCTCCTGCCTCAGCCTCTCAAATGCTGGGATTACAGGTGTGCACCACCATACCTAACTCTGTTCTTTTTTCTTCTATGCACACTCTACATTATAGAACAACAAATTATAGCATCGTTAAATCCAAGTGTTAAATACTACTGAGTTATTTATGAAACAATCAATCTAGAGGCTAAGTGCTGTTTTTTGTTTTGTTTCAGTTTTTTTAAGATAGGGTTTCACTAAGTAGTTCAAGCAGGCCTTGATTCACTATGTTGTCCAGACTGGCCTTGAACTCAAGAGAATTCTCAGCTTCCTAAGTGCTGGGATTCCTAAGTACAGGCATGTGCCACCACATCTGGCCAACAAGTAGATTACAGGCAGGCAGCCATGGATCCAAGATCTATCAAAACAGAAAATTATTAGGCCTTGGTCAGTGGACTGAATAGGGAACTAAGAACTAGAAAGAACAAATGTAATCTCAGGAATACAGGATGTAAACTGAATAGATGGGGAAATAGTAGAAATCAATGATATAGAAAGTAGCCATGGGGGCTGGTGAGATGGCTCAGTGGTCTAAAGCACCTACGTACAACAAGCTAAGCTAAGCAAAGCACAGGGACCGCGGTTCAATCCCCCAGCACCACATGCCAGCCCG